GATCCCGCTCTTTAATTCGCGCTAGTCTTGCTGATGCGTAGGCAGCGGGAATCTATATTTCTCGCAGCGGTGGACATTTCGTCAAGCGTGTTGCGCTCAACACTATGTCATCCTCCTCGGCTTCCGCCTCCCTCAGTGGCCGCCGTTGCGCATGCGGAAGAGCATCCCTGTCCTTTCGTTGCGGCGGCGGCGGCGGCGAGTCGCGCCGTGGACTGCGACGCGGGACGACGACGCGCCATGTCAAGCGAATCAGAGTGCGGGAAAACGCAGTAGGTTCCCAAGAGGGCCCCAAGACTGCCTCCGAAAGCATCAGACGGGCCAAGAGCGCCGTAAGAAAGCCCAGCGGAACCCGAAGGGGCCCTCAAGAGGCCCCCGAGAGGCCCACAACGGGCACCCTCCCGGCCCCCAGGAGGCCAAAAGGCCTACTATTCCTCCTTATCCTCGTCCGCATTGTCTCCCCGCTCAGACTCGATGGGGGCATCGAGGAAGCCTCCACCTCCCTCCTCCCCCCCTCGTCCTCCTCCGCCTCCTCCTCCTCCTCCTCCTCCTCCTCCTCCTCCTCCATCCTCCATCCTCCTCCTCCTCCTCCTCCTCCTCCTCCTCCTCGTCCTCCTCCTCCTCCTCCTCCATCCTCCTGCATTGTCCTCCCCCCTCTCCCTGACGGCCCCCAAGGGCAGGCCAACGTGCAGCATCCGCAGGCCACTTTCCCCCACGCAGGGAGGCGCCACGTGGCCCCCCACGTGGCGGGCTCCACACGGCAGGCCCGCAGCGCGGGCGAGCGAAGCAAGCGCCGTGGGCTCTCTTGATAGCCGTGAGGAGAGCCAGGAAGCGTTGGTCGAACCAGGAGGAAGGAGGAGGTGGAGGTAGAGGAGTGAGGAGGAGGAGGAGGAGGCGGGAGGACGAGGAGGTGGAGGAGTGAGGAGGAGGAGGAGGAGGAGGAGGAGGAGGATAAGGAGGAGGAGGAGGAGGACGAGGAGGAGGAAGGGGAGGATGGGGAGGAGGAGGAGGAGGAGGAGGAGAAGGAGGAGGAGGAGGAGGAGGAGGAGGACGAGGAGTAGAAGGAGGAGGACGAGGAGGGACGAGGGAGGAGGGAGGAGGGGGATGATGATGAGGATGAGGATGAGGAATATGATGAGGATGAGGATGAGGATGACGATGAAGATGTGGAGGAGGATGACGGAAGAGGAAGGAAGAACAGGAAGACGGGAGCCAGGAGAGCCGTGAGGAGAGCCAGGAAGGCAGGTAGCTTTTTCATTGTTCGGGCGGCCGAGAGGTTTCGGGGAGCAGACAACGACATAAGCATACAGACTCTGATGTCCGCGCGGGTTCCTCGGATCGGCGCTGGCGCCCCCTGGCGGTGCCTCCGGGTCTAGCGCCGATCCAAGAACTCCGCGTGCACCTCCGAATTGTTATGTATATGTCATTGTTTGTTCCTCGGAGGTTGGTGATGTGTCCGCACAACTGACGCTTATTAAAACCACGGCCAGCACTGCGATGGCATCCAAAGCATGGATGGCTGCGACGCCACTCCCGCCAGATGCATGTGATAATCCCGCCAGATGCTTCTGGCAGTATACACTCACAGAGAGAGAAATAGAGGTAAAGAGAGAGAGGGAGGCGCGGCTCCTTTCAGCCACGGCGGCATGGCAGTCGTTCCATAAAGGGCACATCTGCAAACATCTGCAAAAAGAGCAGCAGCGGCACTCATCCGTGCGTTGTGTGGGCAGATTGCTCACGCAACGTCGAAGTGACGCGCAGGTCGTCGAATTCAAGCTTTTGCCTTGGCGAAGCGCGCCCACTGGAAATTCCAGGCACTCTAAAATGCCATGCTGGCATGTCGAATCTGGACTGGCCTGAGCAGACCGGTGGGCTGTTCAAGACTTGTTCGAATGCCAGGAGGGCAAGTAGGCTACGGAGAGGGGAGGGAGCGGGGGGGGCTCGCGCATTTGCACCAGCGATTCTCTGGCACAGCTCCTGGTGCCTTCTGGGGCCTCGAGATGGCCTTCAAACGTCCCAAGATGGCCCGGGTATGGCTCCAAGATGGATGCAAGACGACTCAGGATGGCCTCAAGACGGCCCGGATAGCCTCAAGAAGGAGCAAGATTGCCCAACATTCCCTCAACACGGCCCAAGAGGCCCCCCACTCCAGGCCAAGAGGGCTCCAAAAGGCCCTCAGGGCCTCAGGGAGGGCCCCAAGTAGCAACCTGAACAATGTGTTTCAGGCAGCCGTTCCGCTTAAGACCTCCTCGCCGTGTACTCAAGAATCGTGCTCTCAACTCAATGCCGGCTACATGTGTGGTCCAGACGGCCACGATCCCTTGTACAACAAATCACTCAGGTGCACATGGCCGTGACCTAACCCCTGTCACACAAACACGACTCCTGGTAAAAACGCGCTCGACCCAAGAACCCGAAAAGGAATGCAGAAATGTGAGCCATGATACTGATTCTAAAACACCTGATTGGTCGACGTGCACTTGCAACGCTGGAGGTATCAGTCGTACTGTACCAAGCCAGGGGCTGTGCTCTGCTGTGACGTACTGGACTTGGATGTGGCATGACGCGATGGATGAATTGCGTTGTGCTCTATAGGGATGCGGATCAAGTCGTTCTCAGCATCCGAATCCTGACCGAACTGATCTGGATCTTCAGCTCGAGATGCCTGAGCGCATAGCTCGTCCATGGCTAGGTGCAATCGAAACGTGCGTGCCGTCAGCCAGCTCGAGCTTCAGATTCGGTATTGTTCCGATGCGAAACCAATTAAGAAGGGGCGAACCCGAACATAGGCGAAACGCACCGACAATGGACGGACCAAAACGCGGCGAACCGAGACGCGACGAACTGAGGCAAGACGAACCGATCCATACGAACCATGACGAGGGCCGAATCGACTCTAGTCAAATCGAGGCAAAACATACCGAGACTGGGACGGGTCGAATGCGCTTCGGTTCACCCCCCTGAAACCATCTGGCGTCTCCTGCCGTGGGAGCCGAACTTAGAAGGCCTCTATTAAATCACCAGAGGTGTGCGTCCCAAGGGCCGCGATCGTGGCGCAAATTGCGACTTGTTCGTGGTTGCTGACATGCGCTGCGTCATGCCGTGTTGACTTGTTCTGTGTCCCATCGCGTTGTAGCCCAACTCGTCCTTGGCAGCCGAATCCTGTCTGAATTGTCTGGATCTTAAGCTCGAGCTGCTTGGCTGGACGCATAGCTCGACCAGAGCTGCGTGCAATCGAAACGCGCGGGGCGCTCAACCAGCTCGAGCTCAAAATCCGATGTTTCTCCGATGCGGGACGAATTCAGAAGGGGCGAACCGAAACCAAGGCAACATGCAACGACAATGGACGGACCGAAACGCTGAGACAGGACGATCCCCTCTTGGTGGCCTAAACACGTGAAAACACTGGCCAAGTGAACGGGTGCATTACGGATATTAGATACCCCTCCGCGCACGTAACTCTGCATGGGAAGAGTCCGAATAACTCATGTTAGGAATCTCCCTGTGGCCTGCACACGTGGAAACAATCGTTTCGCTCGTTGCTGCACAGCAAGCGTTAAGCTTTAGACACCCTCAAACTCTGCCACACAAACGTTTCCCCTGACATATCCTGACCGAAAAAACGTAAGACAAGCGTATCAACACATTAATTCGCCGGTCCTTCACGACCTCGGTACTCATATTCAACCTCGCCAGCCCTGCGCAAGTCGAGGACAGGAGACAATTTCACCACACGGAAAAAACACCCTGGGCCTATGCCATTTCCAGGAATACACTTTGGTGCACGTGGCCGTGCTCTCAGCCCTGTCACACTGCCCCGATCCCCCAAGTAACACAGACACTACGGTGCACATGGCCGTGCTCTCATCCCTGTCATACGAGCGCGATCCCTGGCAACAGAGACACTGCAGTGCACATGGCCGTGCTCTTATCCATGTCACACGGCCACGACCCTTTGTAAAAATGCACTACGGTGCAACGGCCGACTCTCACCCCTGCCACGCCTAAGAATCCGTAGGAATGCTCGGAATGCACGCTTTCATTTGCCGACCTCATTCTCCTCGGGACGCCTCTTCACCTTTGCTGAGATTACGGTGCTTCTTGAGGCAATTGAATCAATACTGAATGCTGTATGATTAAAACATTATCGCCTCTTCCGGTTCCTCACGAATGCCTAATACGGCCCAAGAGGCCTCCGAGATGACCTGAAGACGTCCCAACAGACGCCCAATAGTACTCCAAGAGGGCCGAAGTGGGCCCAAGATGCCCCCAAGGCGGCCCCAAGAGAGGCCCATCACAGCCAAGGATACCTCAATTGCCATGCAGCCCCCCCCATCAGGGTCCCAAGACTGCCTCCGAAGGCATCACAGGGGCCAAGAGCGCCCTAAGACGGCCCAGGAGAACCCGAAGGGGCATCAAGAGGCCCCCAAGAGGACCCCAGGAGGCCAAGAGGCCTCCTTGTCCTCCTTCTCCTCGTCCTGACTTGTCCCTCCGCTCCGCCAACTCTCCCTCCCCCTCCCCCCGACCGCCCCCGCGGCCAGGCCCACGTGCAGCATCTGCAGGTCAACTCTCCCCCCAAGCAGGGAGGCGCGGCGTGGCCCCCCGAGCTGCCTCCGAAAGCACCGGACGGGCCAAGAGCGCCCCTGAGACGTCCCGGGAGAACCCGAAGAGGCCCCTTGAGAGGCCCCCCGAATGGCCCCCAGGAGGCCCCCATGAGGCCACGAGGCCTCCTCCCTACTCCTCCTCATCCTCGCTGTCCTTCCACTCCTCCTCGTCCTCTCTGTCCTTCCTGTCCTCCTCGCCCTCGCTGTCCTTCCACTCCTCCTCGTCCTCGTTGTCCTCCTCCTCGTCCTCATTATCCTCCACCCCCTGACGGCCCAGCGACATGCCAACATGCCACGACTGCGGGCCAGTTGCCGCAGCGGGGGGGGGCCTGCCATGGCCCTCGCTCGGCGGCCCGCTCAGCCAAACCTTATCAGGACTTGCTTGCCTTCTTCTTCCCCTTACGCTGGACGCCCTGCTCCTGTCAGGGGCGGACCGACCAACACTGCATCGACCGACGCTTGTGACAAAGGCCCGCCTCCCCACCGCTCCCGCATGAGAAAACGAAAAACGCGCGCGTCTCTGGCGCGCGGCGTAGCTTTTAGGTCGCGCGGGCTCCTGTCACAGTGCCAGGTGGCGTCCAGGACGGGGGCGACCAACGTGTGCGGACGAGGGGGGGACCCAGACGCATTGAGAGAACCAACGGGGCCATGAAATCCAGGGCGATCTCAGGGTCCCGACTATGAGATTCATTCTCCCTGGTCTTCACCCTCATATTGTTGGTGGCGCGCACAAAGGGGGTAGAGGGAGGGGGAAGGCTCCTTAGAAAGAGGTTGCTTCTTAGAAGGCGACGGCTCCACATCCACAGAGAAGGTCAGCGCCTCCTAAGTAGCGGGGGTGCTTCTGAGAACCTTTCCCCCTCCCCCTAGCTTGCCCACCTCTGCGCGCGTCTGATCCTGGACGCTGCCGGCACGTGTCGATCGACGAAGGGACGAATCGACGGTCGGTGCGGTCCTGACCCTGCACGACCTCCTCGGGCACGGGCAGGGGCGCAGGCGACTCGACGGGCGTCGACCTCGCGGCGGGTCCCGGCCTCGACGGGGGCCCCCAGGCCCGCGAGCCGGTGCTTCCTGAGGAGCCGCCTTCGCGTGAGCCTGGCAGCACGGGGTAGGCGTCGGCGTCTTCGTGCGTCGGGGGGTCCTTCGAGGCCGGGATCTCGCGACCCGCACCAGGCCTCGGCGCGCACTGCTGCCGGTGCTGTCTGCCAGCAACGGAGATGGCGTCCGCACGTGCGCCCCACATGGTGGACGAGGCGCCTGGCTGCGCGTGGTCGGCTGCGCCAGCGGACCCGGGCAGCGAAGGGAAGGCCACGGCAGCCATGGCTGGCGACGAAGGCCGCGGCCGCAGGCTCCTGGTCTGGCGCTGTCCGCCCTCCAAGCGGCGCGAGGCGAACCAGTCGTCGAGAGTGCGTGCCTGCGGTGACTGTCCGTGAACGCACTCTTCCACGAATCCTGGCGCCATCTCATGGGCCTTGGCGCGCACGAGCCGCATCGCTTTCTCAAAATTTTCCTGAGTCGACGCGCCATCCACCCTGACGCACGCTTCGCACACCTGCCGCCAATTAGTATCCACTCGATGGAAGAAATCGTAATTGCCAACGATCGTCAGGGAGGCCTGTGCACGGCTGATCGCCACGTTTAGGCGCCTCCGGTCTCTGGCGAAGCCGGGGTCCTGTGTGGCGTTGCTCCTCGTTGTCGACAAGACCACGTGCGGGGCCTCCGAACCCTGCGCCGCGTCCACGCTGACCACGGACACGAGCTGTGCGCCGATACCCATCTCGCTCAGGGCGAACTTGATGAGATCCACCTGGGCCTTGTACAGCGCGATGACCTTTACATCCTTCAAGTTCCTGCTGAGCACTGGGTCGTGCTTGAGAAGGCACGCGATGTGCGCGACCTCGGCGACGTTGATCTTGGAATTGTTGAGACGAGCCTCCCCATGCGAGGTCTTAAGCCACTGCAGAACTTCCCTCGGAGAGCCATTATCCCTCAACCATTTCGAGTCTCCTTTAAGCTTCCCAGCGTAGGACAGGGCCGATACCAGCTTGCACAGCTTGGCAGGCATGCGGTACTGCGTCAGCAGGGGGTGCTCCTGGGAGGACCATGTTGCTACCCCGCATCTTCTTCTTAATCCTCTCCGAAGCTGCGAGATGTTTTCGTGATCCGTGTTATTTCTCCCTGTGTGTGGGGCGGGAGTCGACCCTGGGGGCTGGAATGGGACCGATGAGGCCCAGGAGCTCCTGGGAGCGCCAGGATGGCGCCGCAGAGACACCAGAAGGCGGCTGCCTGGATTTGCTTGCGCTCTCCGTCATCTGTGTTGGCATTTGCACACATTTCCAAAAGTTTGTTTGGATGGTGCTGGGTGTGCTCCAACTTCGCTAGCGCTTCTCAATCGCATGCTTCCGATGTGAAGCTTACGTGAGTATTTCCTCGGCTCTGCATGCACATTTGCTTACATTGGCTCGGGTTTGGTAGGATCTGCCTCCCAGGAGCAACTGGTTTCACTTAAGTGCATGCTGCTCTACATGTTCTGGGTTTTTTACTCATTGCCTTTGACTTGCTGCGATTTACTTACATGATTACCCTCCAAAGCTTAATGCGCCGCTTCTGCAACATCTTGTCTTGTGTATGCTATTGCCGTCATCCTCGCTCGTCGTGCTCCGTCACTAGTCTTTGTCGTCATTCGTTGTCATCGTGGTCACTCGTCGTGGCCGTTGCTACTCGTCATTACTTCTCGTGATTACTGGTCTTCGAAATCAGTTCTCCTCGCTGCTGTCGCCGCCGTCGCCACCCGTCGCCGCCAATCAACAATCGTCGCCGTGATCGTGGTCGTCATCGTCGGCATTACTTGTCGCTGTCGTCAATTGTCGTCGTCGTCGTCGCCGTCGCATGCGTCGTCACCCGTCGTCCCTCGTCAACTGTCGTCGTCGTGGTCGTCAACGTGACTCATCGTCGTCGGCGTCGTCACCGCTCGTCGTCGTCTTCGTCGTCGTCACGCGTCGCCGTCGCCGTCGTCGCCGCGATCGTCATCGCTAATCGTCGTCTCTCGACGGCCGTCGTCGTCTCGTCGTCGCTCGTGCCTCGTCGTCGTCGTCTCCCAACGTTGTGGCTTCTCTGGTAATGGTCGTTCGAGGTCGTCGTTGGCGTCACTCGCCGTCGTCGTATTAGTCACTCGTAGTTGCTCGTCCCTCGTCGTCGTCACTTATTGTCGTCTTCTTCATCATCACTCGTCATCTTTATCGTCGTCGCCGTCGATCGTCGTCGACATCTCTGGTCGTCGTCGTCGTCGTCACGCATCGTCCTCCGTCGCTCGACGTCGACACCTGTCGTCCTCGCTCGCCATCATCGCCGCCTCTCCGACGCTCGTCGTCGTCGTCGTCGCCATTCGTTAACGTCGTCGTCGTCGTCGCGGTCGCAGGGTGCCGCCAGCCCGTCTAGTAGAGCATGCCAGCATGCCCGCGCGATCGCTTGAGCGCCGCTCCGCCCGCTTTGATACCTCGCGCGATCTGCTCGACCCGACCGCTCGACCCGCCCGTTTCGCCCGCCCGACCTGCTCGCTCGCTCGCATGAAAAACCACCCGCCCGCTTTGATGCCCCGCCCTGCCGCTCCATCCCCTGGGGTCCACCCGACCCGCCCGCGCTTCAAGGTCCACCAACCCGTCCCGCACGCCGGGGCGATCAACTGCTTGAGAAAGGCCCGCACGCCCGCTCTGTCCCACCCGCCTGGCTCCGCCGACACGCCCGCCAAAGTCCTGCCCAACCCGACCGCTATGGGCCACCCGTTCCACCCGTCAAGGCCTGCCTGCCCGACCTGCTTGAGAAAGGCCCGCCCGCCCGCTTGCGCGACAGCCCGCCCGCGGACCCGCCCGCCCGACCTGCCCGCCAGGATCCGCCCGGCCAGACTCGCTTGCACGAAGTATGCCATCTCGCTTGCGTGACAGCAGCCCCGCCCGTTTGGGCCCGCCCGCCCGACATGCCCGTCAAGGTCCGCCCGCCAGAGTCCGCCCGCTCGCTTGCCTGCTGGCCCGCGCAAGTCCCACCCGCCCGACCCCCATCGTCAAGATCTGCCTGCTTGCTTGTTCGCAAAACCGCTTGCCCGCTGCAACGCCCCACCCGCCCGATCCGCCCGTCCGCGCCCGCCCGCGCGACCCACCGGCCAGGGTCCGCAGGTGAGGGTCCGCCTGCCAGCCCGCCCGTCTGGGTCCGCCCCTCCGCTTGCCTGCTCGCGCCGTCAGAGGTCCCGCCCAAACCGCCCCTTTTAAAGTCTGCCCGCTCGATTGCTTGCATGCCTGCCTGGTTTGAAGCCCCACCCGCCCGAACCGCCGGTCAAGATCCGCCCGGCCCGCCCGCCAGCTGGTAGGGCCCGCCAGGCCCGGCGACCTCTGACGGCCCGCCTGTCCGTTTCGCCCACGTGTGCCTGGCCGGTCGATTGCTTGAACTCCCGCCTGCCCGCTTTCATGTCCCGCCCGCCCGCCCGAGGCCAACCTGGCCGTTGGGGTCCGCCCGCCCGACGCTCCGCCCGACCAGCCCGCTGAAGCCCGCCCTCCCACGGCGCCAGTCCGCCCGCTCGGTTGCGCGAGCACCCGCCCGCGCGCTTCGATGCCCTACCCGCCCGCCAGGGTCCGCCTGACTCGATCCGCCCCCTAAGGTCTGCCATTTAGCTCGCTCGAAAATCGCCCCGCCCGCACCACCAATATCCTACCCTCCCTCTCCACTCTTCCCTCCTCCATCCTCATTCCTTCCTCCCCCCTCGTCCTCCTTTCTCGGGTTCTTCCCCTTTACTCCCATGTACAATACTTCGAAAGCGTCACGCCTGTCAACACAGGACGGTTCTTGAAACACATCGCGATGATCTTGGCTTCTAACGACCAGATTCGTGTCGAACAAGCCCGATCGGTGTAGCTTCCCAGAGCAAGCGGATCAGAGAAACAATACCTTCTCCCCCTTCCCTCTTCTTTCCTCCCTCCTCCTCCTGGCGATGTCAGCCATGGCGGCGCAGCCGTGACCAGCACACCACGAGGGTGGGCACTGCGAGCGCGACGTGAGCCCATGCATCGAGAATCTAGGATCGAGCACCGAGGCTCGAATCGAGGATGGATCGAGATAGCTGGTCGACGGTGTCGAGAATCAAGGTCGAGGATCGAGGACCAACAGTCGAGGCATGCGAGTCAAGCCGAGGGTCGTTCGAGGGGGTCAGGGACCGAGGGGGATGACGGCGGGATGCAGGTGGGAGCCAAAGATGGATGAGGGAGGAGGCGCGAGGGACGAGGCCGTCCGCTTCGGAGGTCAAGCTGAGTTGACCATGGCGCCTCCCTGGTGCGCTCCCAGGCCTCCCTGGGTCACCTAAGTAACCCTTCCCGACCTCCAGGCTTCTCCAGGCTCCCTTCAGCGTCGCCAGGCCCCCTAGTCCTCCCCACAAGCTGAAGAAGAGAAATGGCCGCACACGCCCCGAGAGTTGGGAACAAACACTGCCACTGGGGGAAATGACCCTGACGAAAGGCCCAACCATATGCAGTTGTGGCTAGTGCAATTGTGATTCTCGACTACGGTGGAGCTCCCCATGAGGCCACGAAGCCTGAGACGGGCGTGCAAAAATGGGGGCGGCGGTGCCAATATGCAAACGCAGCGACTGGGGCCTCCGGCGTAGCTCCCTATAGGGGCCACGAAACGTGTGTGGGGTGTGCCAAAACGGGTGCGGCGGCGCTATGCGAATGCAGCCACTGGAGCCTTCGATGGAACTCCCTATGGGGCCACGAAACGTGTGAGGGGTGTGCCGAAACGGGTGCAGCGGTGCCATGCGAACGCAGCCATTGGCGCCGTCGGTGGAGCTCTCTGTGGGGCAGCGAAACGTGTGAGGGGCGTGCCGAAACAGGCGCGGCGGTGCCATGCGCAGACAGCCACTGGGGCCTTCGATGTAGCGCCCCATGAGGTCACCAAACGTGTCAGGGGTGTGCCGAAATCCGTGCAGTGCCGCCATACGGACTGTGCCACTGGGGTCTTCGGTGAACCTCCCCATTGGGCCACAAAATGTGTGATGGGTGTGCCGAAAAGGGTACAGCGGTGCCAACATGCGAACGCAGCCAGTGGGGCACGTGGTGGAGCTCCCTAATAGGGCCACGAAGCGTGTGGTTGCCGAAAACGGAGCTGCGGTGCCGACCTGCAAACGCAGCCACTGGAGCCTTCGGTGGAGCTCCCTGTGGGGTCACGGAACGTGTGAGGGGTGTGCCGGAACGGGCGCAGCGGTGCCATGCGAACGCAGCCATTGGCGCCGTCGGTGGAGCTCCCGGTGGGGCCACGAAACGTGTGACGGTTTGCCGAAACGTGTGCGGCGCCGCCATGCGAACGCAGCCACTGGGGCCGTCGGTGTAGGTCCTTGCATGGGGCCACGAAGCGTGTGACAGGTGTGCCGAGCCGAGACGGGACAGGCGGTGTCGACATGCGAAGACAGCCACTGGGAGCTTCGGCGGAGCTCCCTGTGGGGGGACGAAAGGGGTGTGATGGAAGTGGTGCGGCGTTTCCATGCGCACGCAGCCACTGAGGCCTTCGGTGGAGGTCCCTGTGGGGAAGCGAAGCGTGTGAGGGGTGTGCCAAAACGGGTACCGAGGTGCCGACATGCGAAAGCAGCCACTGGGGCCTTCGGTGACACTCCCTGTGGGGCCACGAAGCGTGAGGTTTGCGCCGAAACGGCTGCGGCGGTGCTAGGCGGACAGTGCCACTGGAGCCTTCGGAGGAAATCCCTGTGGGGCCACGAAACGTGTGCCGGGTGCGCCGAAACGGGTGTGGCGGTGCCATGCGAAAGCATCCGCTGGATTCTCCGGTGGAACCCCATGGGGCCACGAAACCAGTCCTAACCCGTCCCAGGAGGCCTCCAGGAGCCTCTCCAAGAGGGCCCCAAGAGGCCAGAAACTTTAATTTTCCTTTGGTTCTCCGTGGGCCCCTTGGGCCCCCCCCCCCCGTGGGCCCCTTGGGAGCCCCCCTCCGTCCAGGCTTCCCAGGGCAGCCCCCCTGGGCCACGGAACCTTTTATTCTCTTGCACAGCTGTGCTCTAGAGCTCGGACATCTTTATTTTCGTCGTGGTTCGTGGTTCGTCGT